CGAGCTGACCAGGATCAATAAGCGCAAGGCTAGCATGGCCAAGGTTGCAGCTATCACGGATTCGGAAGATGAGGATGATGATGAGTCCGGGGAGGATGAGAAGGCTGTTGTGGTCAATACCATGGAGAAGGCACGGCCTCCAACCTACAGGTTTCAAGGGTTCAAAGCACAGTATTATACATGCTACTTTGGACTCCTTTTTTCCGAGTCTTCAATTCTTCAGGAGTTCCAAAGGTTCGAGAAGTTTGCCAACAGCCTCCTGAATCGATCTGCTAAGCTCACCGATTTGGCGCAATCTCTTGAGACAGAACTTCAAGATATGAGTGCCGACAGTTCCGAACAAAAGCGGGCACAGAAGTGGGGGCCTTGAGAGTGATAGTGGATTTGGTCACTGTTCATGACATGTGCAAGACCTGCCCCACTGCCAATCCAAATATTGTTCTGAGTGTCCGTACTCAGGGCTGTGGAAAATCTCGATGCATCGATTGCTGTCCTGGACAGAGAGTACGAGCAAGTGGAAACTGCACGATCTAGCCTGGTTGCTGATCAACACATGACGGACAATGCTAAGAAAGAGCTTCTTGGATAGATTATTTAATGGCTTCCCGGTTTACCTGTAAGTTTCCACCACCCTTTCAGTTCTGAGTCTGATTATTCATTGTGCTCAGGCTGGTCAAAATGATCGATGATCAAATCAAGAGCACCACAGTGGCGTGCTGCACCTAGATCCCAAAGCTCTCTACACAAAAAAACTGTTTATCAGGAATGCCAGCTTTGCCAGTGAACCGTTGTACTACCCAGTGATTTGCCATGCTAGGTGTGCGAAGGTCACCACCGCAGAGAACACTGGGAAGTTTCTTGCCAATTTTACTGCTTGTTTGCTTCTTCTAGACTCTGGAAACTTGAGTTCAAACGACATGCCATACTTGTATCGCCTATCGCGCTCTATTGCCAGGAAGATCCTGCGTGCCCTGATGAAGTCCAAAGCGGACAAGGATAGCTGAATGCTATCTAGTGTGACTAAGATCTTTTCTTCCAACTTGAAGTTGGTCGAACAGGGTTTCAAGCCTGCAAATCTGTTGGGATAATGGTGGCAGGCTATTTGAAGTTGGGGTGAGCACGTGCAAAGCATGTGACAAAACTTATCGAAGTCGTGGCTAGAAGGAACACCTGTAGCGAATTGTACCGACGCATTGCTTGGTATCACCCTTCAGCACGAAGGGACAGGGTTACATGCATGTTGTGGTTGGCCGGTGCCAGGTGGCAGGCAGCGCAACCTACTGGAAAACGCAGCCAGCCTCGTAGCTTCTGGTGCTGGAGCCCCAGAGTGGTCTCCTCGTCCTGCCCGTGAACGTCACGCTTCCAAAGAGCTAACAGTGCACGGCCTTTGCAGCTGTTTGGTTTTTCTCGTACGGGACTCTTTGAACAGTTCAGCATAAAGCATGTTCAGCTTACCTATAAAAAGACTTTAATATTTTTGTCAGGATGAACCTCTTCAGCTCTGGAGTTTGTAGTTCTGCCATGGACGGGCAAGAATCTGGTGCGTTTTCCCTCTATTGCCCCAGCTTGGGCAAGAAACGGAAATGCGACAGTCCAACTAATCAGAGCGTGCGGCTTCATAAAGCATCGAAGTGTTTTGCTTCAAAAATGGAACAACATGCCAAGCTGTGTTAGTATTGACAAGTTGTGGCATGGAACTTGATGGTACTAAGGCTTGCTTGGGATGTGTCTACTTCACCAGTCATGAACTCGATCCCATATGTGACCCAAGACGATGCTCCCATGACCCCTTTGGTGTACGGCCTCGATCTTCGTGAAACCATCCACATGAAGGCCATTGAAATGGAACCTTAGCACGAGAGAGTGGTATCATGCTTGGGGAAATGTATATAGATCTGGCTTGGGTCTGTCATCTAAGGACCTGGGTGTTGATTCGGATTTTCTGAACGCTGTGTTGAAGATTACCCGGACTTGTAAGTCTGAGATACTAGATTGGAATCTGCTGGGCCCTGATTCCCAAACTTGTGGAATCTTGTGGATTCCCAAGGGGGTCCAAACAAATTTAAATCCGTCTCACATTTTTCGCTCGACAAAGACCCTGGTCTGAGAACAGGGTTATGGCTGGGTACCAAACTGCTTGATAATTTATGGGGTGAAGGGCCCAGGGCCCATGACACCTTTTTTCTGTACCAAGTGCCAAGCCGAATCGGGGTTAGAATTTCGCTTTGGCCGGGGAAAACAAGAGTGTGTGCCTTACCTCAAGAAACTTTACATGTTTCCAGTAGTATAGGTTTCTGCTTTGGCATGCCTGCAAAGCTACGCCGAGGTTCCATGCGCACATGTGGTGGCCCTTGCGAAAGCTGAAGTGGAGGAGAATCCAAATGCTTCTAGGGCCATTCGGAGAATGGCTGGGGTGAAGGAAAACGATGCAGAATCCGCACTTCATACTATCTTTGCTGAGTATGGTCTTGTTCCCAATGTAGAGATTTCGACGGTGGACTTGGGCCATCCCCAGTTGACCATGTTTCCAGTTATAAATCTGAGCTCTTGGATGCAATGCCTTCTGGATTCTGGCATGCTGTGGCGCCAAATGACAGGAACTCCAACTTTTGCAAAAATGAAGGAAGTGCTGAGTGTTTTCTGGGAGCGGTTCCAAGCGGCATTTCCAGAGCATGGAGTTTTTGAGTTGAGTCGCAACAATACATTGCAGCTTGATCAAACAATCCCCTTCTTTTCTCACACGGACGAAGGTAGATCCCTGAAACACCTTCCTATTTGGATTCTGTCATCGCACGGAGCCCTGGGAAGGGGAACAAAGAAGTTTCTTGTGAGCAAGAAACATGTTGCTCCACTACACAGACATGGCCTTGGTATGAATTTCTTGGGTTCGACGTGGGCGACACAGTTTGTATTCGCCACGATGTTACGTTCTGTGTCGGAAGCCTACCCTGGGAGCCTTGACAAGCTCATTCGCTTTTACAGTGAAGATGTGAGAAGGCTGGCTTTGGAGGGCTTGACAGCGAGGAACGGTGGCTACAGGGTGTGGTTCATCCAAATAGGGACCAAGGGAGACCTTCCTGCACTCAGCCGGATAGGGTCTCTCAAACGGAATTTTTCCCATGCCCCAAAGGCAAAGGCCAGCAAGAAGCCATGCAAAGGCATATGCCATCTTTGTTTGGCCGGCCGTGAGGTGATAGTTCCAAATGTTGGAAATCGATCTGTGTATCCATATGAGGAGTTTTCACAGACACCAAAGTGGCTGCCCACAGTTGGTGTGGAAGATCCTTGGGAGACGGAGCCGGAAATCCTCCATGGAGCCTTCATGGGCAATTTGCCCAAACCCTCCTTCCTGTGCATCGACCTCTGGCATACGTTCCATCTAGGGCTGGCGAAGCGATGGGTGGGCGCATCTCTTGCTTCACTAGCTGAATCCAATGTTGTTCCTGGAAATTCCATTGAAGCAAAGCTAGGTTGGGTGACGGAACGCTACAAGGAGTTTGGGGTGAATTCATGGGTCAAGCACATCAACAGGGATACGTTGAATTGGCCACAGTCCTCGGCAGTTCCCACGGGAAAATGGAACAAAGGCTCGGTGTCAACCCACCTCATGGGCTTTTTGGAATGGTTGATGACTGCATATGTGATTGACAACACCACTGGCCCGCTGCTTTTGGCAATTGATTCTAGGATTGAAACCAACGAAGATGTTTTCTAGTACGCTTTGATTTTGAACAGTGAAAGAGTCAGCTTACCTGGTTTGATTTCAAGTTTTCAGGGGCTACAACAACTTTTCTTTTGAAGCATCCAGTACTGTTTCAACCAAGGATAAGGGCACCAAAGCGATGAACACCGCCCTTTCTTTTATGTATGGAGAAGGATATTGGATCAGGGACTGGAAAGCGAAGATTCTTGCCCAGTGGTTGTTGTCGTTCCTGTGTCAATACCAAACAGCTGCTTACATCACACACTGTGCTGGACTAGTGAGGTATCCGATGGTCCCTAAGGCACATTGCCTCCATCATATACCTGTGGAACTACTGGCTCAGGCCAACAGGACGAAGTGGGTGACAAACCCTCTGGCAGGAAGCTGCCAGGTTCAAGAAGATTTTGTTGGAAAGCCGAGCAGGGTATCTCGACGAGTAGCAGTACGGAGGGTACATGAACGCGTTCTCCAACGTGGTTTGTTGTCCTACTCAGTAGCCTTAGAGAAGGCTCAGGAAGATATGCGTGGAATGGATGCCTATGGATCCTCATCTTGAGCTCACACTCCCTTGCCGCCAGGTAGCGTGAAACTTCACAGGCATTGAGCTGCTGGATCGCCCGGATCTCTCTCCAAAAAAGGTTGCGGCCAGCCAAGTGAGCGGGGTTTGTAGAGGAGGGGGGGTTTGTGGAGAGTGTTTTTCTATTGCTATGAATTTTCACTTGGTTTTCTGCAAATCACGAAAAAACCGTAGAAAGGCGTAAAGACAGGCTTTTTTGGAAAGGACCGTATTTCCAGCCAAAGGGGCGTAATTGATATAATTTATGGGTTGGACCTGAATAGGAAGGACCCTCGGGCCCTAGGTATATATATATACACGACGTCAAAAAGCCTCGTCAGTCAGCCCTGTGGTCGTCCTCCGCTGAGTCCTGCAACCCCTGGAAATGCAGTCAGGGGGACAAAATGGGACAACTGCCAATTGCAGCCCTCCGTCCAACAAACATGGAAGTGGACAACCCCGTTTGTAGTCTTCCCAGGGACAATTTTCCACTTTCCATTATGGTTGGAGGGAGGGTAGTACTCGGCGCTTACCACCAGTGGGGCATAGTGGGGCCAACCACTAACTCTAACGCCCCCAGAATCCCCCAGATGTTGAATAGCAGACTTCGCCACTTCAATCTCTCACGGTGTACGGTGTTGCTGAATTGCACGGTTCGACCCCAAAGATTCTAAACCCATCCACCCAGAAAGCACGCCGCCCATCGTCCCGTTTGCCCCGTCCGGACCGCCCCCAGCAAGCCTGCACTGAAAGCCGCGCCCGGCCGCCAGCCGCTCGCGCCGCTTGGGTCCTGCCTGGCACTGAACGCCGCTTTGGGAACCTTTTCATGGTGGCGGAGTGGCCCGGCGCCGGATTTCGGAGGCCTCCGACCGGTCTGGAGCTAAGCGCCACTGATGAGTCCTTTGGGCTGCAACCACCACACCCACAGCGAAGCCAACCGCCTCGCTCAGGAGCTGTGGTGGCAAATAGCTGATCGTCACCTGCCCGACTGTGACGGGAGAGAAGGAGGGCCGTGAGACGGTGCTCTCGAGCCCCAACTCGCCCTGCCTCCATGCCCTTTGGAATGGCTGTGGCGGCCCGCACTAAGAGTCGACTTCGAGAGCTTTCGATGGAGGCCTAGGCGTGCCATGAGAGTCATGAATTTACTTTCTTCTTGTAGCTTCTTGTTACTAGTGGTATATGATGGCCTCCAACCTGCTAGCGATGCTTCTTGTTACTAAATAAATCCCTCTTTCTATAAGGCCTGCCTTGGAGTGAAGGGGCGCTATAGTGTACTATAGTGGATGGACACCCACCAACCATAAAGTCTGCAAAGTTCCCTTTTTCACTATGACTGTGACTCTTTGATGCCTTGACAAGCCCCCTGTTTTGCATTTGAATCCGCCAACGGTATCAATTCCAAGCCAATCGAACCCCATTCCAAGCGGCACCATGTACAAACCAACCATTCTGCCGAGGCCTTTTCAGTGCGGCACTGGGCACCTATTCATTTTGGTCCACTTCTGAGCCCTATCCGCATATCTCTTTGGCCCAGTGCGGCGGTAGTCCGAGAGATACGTTACTTTCCTTGGGTCTCACGACCCCCAAAGTAGTCACCTCTGGCCATGTGACCCAAAAAACATCCAGATCATTAAGAACAAAATGTCCAGTGACATTACAAAAAGAATTTGTCCAGGATGCCTTTGAAGAGCAGTCTCTGCATCTCTGCATGCAGTGATATGATATGTGTCACAAATCCACCAACGGTCCGAAACACAAACTCCGGGATACAATTCATTACACAAAATTCCTAGTGCAAATACAGGCAATTGTACGGTCTACAGAAAGAAAGTGACATCGCTACATTCATCCAAAAACAATGTGTACTGTCATGTGCTTGCCTTTCCATCGGCTCAGCCAAATGCTCTTACCATCTCCTAGCACGTCTAACAATTGGCAGTACTTCTTTGCAGGAATTCACCAACCCCCCACATCCTTCCATCCTTCCACAATCTTCCACATCCCCAAACGGACGGTTGCAAATCGCAATCGCATGTCGTGACGAGACACATTGGGCGCGCAGGAATGGTTGAAGCGAGCGCCCGCGGCGTACAGCGCCGCAAAGTTCGGCTCCTCGGTCTTCCGCGCCGGTCGGTCGCTGAGAGCGACCGCGCGCACGAACGCGCGCGCGGAGGGGGGTCGAGCGGCGGAGGTGAGTCGAGGCTCGGCACTGAGGAAGGCTTTGGATTTGGATCTGTGTGACTTAAGTCTTGTGCCCGGCACCCACCCACACCACCCACGTCGCGGCGATCTCGCCGTCCTCGGTGCAGTACAGCGAGTTGGCTTCGGCGATGGAGCCTCGTCGGCGCTTCTCCGCGCGTCTCCACGTCCGGACCCGGCGCGGTGCCCGCGGAGGAAAGCGAAGACGCTCCCACGAGCGCGTTGAACAGGTTCCCGGATGTGTTAGGCTCTTGGCGCGGCACACGCGGCATACCCCATTGGTGGCACACGGTCTAGCGGCTAGGGGGGGGTTCGGAGAAGTTGACCTCCCCACTGTGCGCCTGCCGCGGGGCTGTTCGAACTAGACCTATCCCAGTTGGGTACCCCAAATCACGGGTCCTATTTACGGTCACTTAACCTCTCTTGGATGTTGCCACTTGCCACGTTCTTCCTGCATTCCTCCCCACTTTGGGATTTGAAACCACTCAGGCCAGGCTGGGCCAAGCAACACACCAGGATCTGCTCGCGCGTGTCCGCTTCCATCTCGGTCCCTTCCAAGGTGGCTCGGTCGTGGGAGTCCTGACCGGGGCGAGGCCTCGATCCGCGTGTGGACCAGGTCATCTCCGGAAGGATGGTCAGAACGCCTTAGGCTTCGTGAAACTGTTTTGCGTGGTGCTTTTGGAACCACGGAAGGATTTGGCAAATGTGAGAGGTGCCTGCCTCATGACTTAGCAAGCATACTTGTTCCAACTTATTTGGTATGGATTAGGGTGGGAAAGACCTCAACTGGAAGACATGGAATGCAAACCACCACGAGGACACACGAAAGTGGAGAAAGACCTGAACCTCACCGCTGCTGCGAAACACCCGAACCCCACCGAGCCGCCGATCGTCCGAACCGAACCGATCAGCGAGAGGACGAGAACCCATCCGTGGTCCCGCAGCCTTGGTGCACAGTTTCAGGAGACTATCCTGGGAGCCATGGCTGGAAGAAGCCATCGGCGAACGAAGCCGGACACAGACCCCTACAAGAAGAAACTCCCTTTTTGCCTGGGTGGGTGAGGGAGCAAAATTCGCTGAAAACCAAGACGGCATGATGACCAATGACATCCAATGACCGATTGCTACAAGAAGAATGTTCATTTCTTGCAAGGTTTCCAGCAGCAAGGAGGGTGTTGGAACGGATTGGGCATGATGAGAATGCTTCAAGTGGATTGAGAATGCGCTTCGTCCAAGTGACATAGTAGAAGTCCGCTTGCGCATCCACACCTGGGTGAGCTGCGTAAGTCTTGGATGCTTGTCGTCAAGGCATGACCCACCCTTCGGAGTTCATGGAAAAGGCTTCTTAGTGTCAATGGAAATTGCATTTCAAAAAACGGTTTGGACATTGTCTCTTTGTAAAAACTTCTCCTCCCTGTTTCTCCCTGTTCACCATCCAGCTGAGACCTGTTCGCATGTGTCAATGTGTCAAACAGTCACCGCGGAGGAAGCCTAGGCACCTGTCAGGCGTCACTGCGTCACTCGACAACATCGACACCATCGACATGGATACACAGGATCTCTTCGCCGAATCTGTGGTGACCAATTGTCAAACAAGGGACGGGGCGAAGCAGGGTCTGACGGGATTGGAGCTCCATGTTAGACTACCCCCAGATCTGGTAGAGGTCCCTTCTGGCTGCATGAGAAACTAGCCTCCCAGAGGCCCCAGAAGGTCAAAACAGTACCAGGTCGATGGGGATGTGCTGTGGACTCCCCCCTGGGAGCTCTCCATGAGTCGTGGTCAGTCAGGACATGGAGAAAGTGGCCCCTTGACAAGCAGAAGTCTTTCGTCCTTCCACTGGGCAGCACCAAACACAAAGCATTCACGACTGAGGACATGTCTTTCGATGTCTTTCAGCGTCTTCCGTCCGTCCTTTAATGTACCACCACAATTGGGCGTCTTTCGCGGCGAGCCCCGGCCCTTAGTTTTGCAAGTGGGATGGTTTGGTCTTGGCTATCAACAATCTAGCAGCTGCACTTCAGGCTCATAGGTGGATGATCCAACTTGGATGTGTCAATGATAACTGGTGTACCACTTGAATAGCAAGCATGTCCCAAGAATGAGGCCGTCTCCTTGATGTCTACTGTACTATGTGTAGTGTAATCGGTTTCTCCGAAGAACTCGATCGATCGACTGCATACGTCTCACCCCTGCGGACCAACTGCGAGCGCTGGCCCTGCGGTCCGCATGGCCTTTACCTTGGCTTCAACGATCAGACGCCTAAAAATTGACACAGTGACTGAGTCTTGATCGAATCGTAACACCCCAGAACACACTCGGCAATCATGAAGAATCTTGATATATCTTGATTAACAATAAAAAAATATGCATGTTTTGATTGTAAAAACGTCTTGATCTTCTGTCTTTTATCAATCAAGCGTCTACTATTATTGGATGGAGTGGCCCCCCCCCCCGGGACGATCGTGCGGTGTCACCGCTGTGCCGATCCGCGACGAATCGCTGAGTTGCGAATGGATTTCTCCGCGATGGTGCAGTAGAATTCCTGGTCGCCTCAGATGAATACCGCATGGGTCTGTAGAGCTGATCTTATACACTAGCAGCGGAAACGGTGCTGCCATGTGCTCGATCCTTTTTGCGACAGTTCAGCAGCCCGTTTTCAACAGGCGGTTATCCATACTTTCGGAGATTGCTTCAAATGTCAGTGCCAAGGAATCACTGAGTGCTGCCTGAATCCAAAAGGCCCTGAATATTGCTGAATCATTCTGAAACCCATGCCATTCATCAAGAACCAATCACCTAGGACTGCATCCTCAAACCCCAAGCCTACCTGTACCTTTACACAATTATACAACATCAGTCAGTTAACCTACCATGAGGTCATCAAGTAGGTGTGCTACAACGTTGGTGGTCGCTTACTACACAGGTGCCCAGTCGCCGTCCATGGGTGCTGAGCAAAAGGCGGTGTCGAAGAGGAGGGGGTCTCCAGCAGAAAGGTCCTGGATGAAGAACATTGGTGTGTTTTCAAAACCCGGGTCAACCAAACACCCAGGCCCAAACCTTTCAAATCACAATGAAAAACAAGAAAAACACATTTGGATTCCGGATCCACGTTTAAAAGTTTAATCCACATTCACACGGTTTGATGGACACCTCACTGTCAGGACAACATGGCGGCCTCCTTCATGTCAGTTGGAGTATCCAAGCCTTTTGGGTCAATCGATTTGTTGACAGCAGCCACAAACATCCAGCAACAGTGCCCTCCCGCGTGTCCAAGCAAAAGCAAGTGTGAGGAAAAGTGTGCATGTGTGTGTGTGT